CCTACACCATGCTGCTGCTTGTTTTTCTTGAATGTAAATGGGTAGTCCATTAACGTACCTGTAATTGTTTTACAGCTTTTAAAATAGTTTAGTATATAGTCAAAAATAGTCCAAGTCCTCTGTATTCAAAGCAAAAGGAGCAGTACCTTGCTGTTATCACTTCTGACACCATTGAAATTCTTCAATTCAAACTGTTTTTTTCTGGTTTTGTTAGTGAATTCATTAGTGCTGTTTATATACAAAGGTGATATTTTTTTAAAAAATTGGAGCAAGAAAGGGCTAGCACTGAGATTCAGACCTTGATTTTTGCTTTAGGTTACATGTATTAATGTTCAGTATTCTTTACATTTTGTTGATGCTCCTTGTTCCATTGGTTTTTCCATTAATATGTTCTGGATAATACTAAATATATTTCACAGCAGATGTGAAGTATTTGTAAGAGCAAATCAGTCTTGAAATACTTAGGTGGAAAATTCTGTTTCAATGGATTTCTTCCTTTCTTCTGGACTGCTTTTTTAACATAAAGAACTTGGCACACTCTGTTGCCTTCCATGTATGGTGGAAAGCGATACATCAAGTCTGTCACCGGTGTTTAGCAGTACCTAGAAGAGGGGCTGAGTTATTTCCAATTGTAAGAAATTATCCAATCATGAAGTTTAAATTCTGGCCTTCAGAGATGGCCATTCAAAATGTTTTCAGTCCTTGGCATGCCTCTTAGTACTGTCAAGAAAGGGGGATGCTACTGCCAGTACAGTAGTTATGTCAAGTGTGTACTTCTTGTGGATGAAACTAGGATGAGGACCAAGATCTGATTTTTAGCATTTACATTCCATTGAATGTAAATGGATTTGTTTCTGTTGTTGTTACTTCTGTTGCAGATTAGGCGTAGACATTATTTTCCCACTTGGAGGTTGGAAGTTGCACTCTGCTGAAAGGGACTGACTTGTGCAGAGGGAGTAGGACTCAGTACAGTGGGGAACATGAAGATAGAAGCCTATGTACTCTAACAGAGTCTCATCTTCTCCACCATCTAGAAGTTCCATTGAAAGGAAACCTTGAAGGTTGGAAGACGAGTCCAAGATGTGCAGTTCAGTTGCTCCCAGGCTGTGGTTCTTAACAGACCGTCGCATCAGAGAAGATTACCCTCAGCAGGAGATCCTGAGAGCCCTGAAGGCCAAGTGCTGTGAAGAAGAGCTAGATTTCCGGGCCTTGGTGATGGATGAAGTGGTGCTGACCATTGAGGATGGAAATCTTGGTGAGAATGAGCTAAGGCTGGGAATGTGCTTAAAGAGTACTTGGAAAAAGATGGTAAAATGGAGCATCTGTACTCTTTAGTAATGAATTCCATGTGTGCCAGACTACCATACATCATCTAAATCTTGTAGATGTACATGATACCATGTTCTTTAACATTTATTGTGATAATCAAATATAATTGTTAACTTTGCTAATTTGCATTAGAAGTATTTTTGCTTTCCCTCTGTAGAACAGAGAAGAGGGTTGCTTTAGTTTGTTGATTCCAGGATAGGATCTCTGAATTAAGAAGAAATTACGGAGTTTCATTTTTGCATAGGTACTTGAAGTTTATGGGTCACATTTAAGAGTTTCAGGGGGACTTTTTCCTTCTCTTTGTATTCTGACTCCAGGATAGAAAACACATTTGAAATAAACTAAAAGGAGTTTTCAATAGATAGTACAAATTGTCATGGAGCTAGAGGTAACAAAGTGACATAACTAAAGCATGCTGCTGTAAGGATGTGTAGTTACATATATGCCAAAAAAGAACGGGGCTGAAAAACAAAGTATGTACATCAGAATAATTTGAACTATTACTACAACTTAGTGTTTTAAACTGGATTGTAAGATTTCTGTATTGTTTTCCTATTAGCTTTTTTTTTTCTGTGGCGATTAAAAAGGAAAAGCAAGACGTTAAGGTGTGTTAGAAGTGTTAATTAAAATGATTAATTAAAATAAGTTTATGTTATAGGAAGAATATTAATACCACCAATGTCAAGCTGTGTAAAACTTACTGTTACAATTTTTTTTTCAACTTTTTAATTTGGATTTCCTAAAGGAAGGAAACTGCAGTGTTGTTCTGTACCTTTACCTCTTCCATTTCTCTTCCCCATGTATCAGTCAAAAAAACCATCACTGGAGATCCAAGGAAGAATTAGATTTCTGAAAGTTGTATTAGAATAATCCTGTGTGGGAAGAAAATAAGAAAGTACCCTCAGGCCTGAAGAAGAGGCTGCCATGTGATCTTATACCTTGTTCCTTATTGGGGAATCTATATAGGAGGGAAATCTTAAAACTGACTCTGGGGAAGAACTTTGGTCAGAACTGGTACCTTATTGTAGCATGAATCAATCAAGCATAAAACAAATGCATGGGAAAACAGGATTTTTTGATTCTGGTATTACTAAACTTTTGTTTACATATTTTGTCTTTTATTCTGAGGTGTCTATGATTTTTATCAGAGACTTGAAATTCTGTAGGATGTCTTCAAATCAAGGCAACTTCTTATCAGAAAGTCTGAACATCTTATTACTCTGAGCGCGCTGTCCTTTGGACAGCGTGTTCTGTGAAGGCAGCCATCCTGGACTGTAGCTGCAGCCTCTAAGATGCATAACTGGTTCTTCAGCATTTCAGTATTGTTTTTATTTCTTGGTGATGTTTTTTTCTTTCCTGTCTTCTGCCTGGTTTTGGGGAATTAAATATGGCAGGCATGAATTGTGGGCCGTTCTGCTCTCCTCCGTTTAATGTCTCCTAATGCTGCATCTATTGCAAGAAGAAAAGATAAAGTATGCAAACTGGAAAACTAATACTGAGGAATGTGTAGTACAAGAATGAGAAAAATTAAGGAAATGGCTAGAAGGAAAATGTAAAAAAAGGAAATTATTTTCATACAAACTGTTCATTCAAAACCACGTTGATAACTGACTTTTTGAAAAGGAGTGAGATAAAAATGTTGAAAGATTGTGGATAGAAATTTCCTTGTAAATAATTCAGACTGGCTAATTGTGATTTTTTTTTTTTTTTGGGGGGGGGGGAAGGGGGTTGTGTGTGGGTTGTGTCTTATATCAAACAATTCTTTTCCTTGGAGAGAGATGAAAAATCTTGCCTCTTAATTTTCCAGTTTTCTTTTTTGTAGTGCTTGCCCACGTGTTTTGATACAGATTTCTGGTGGAGGACACAAGCAAAAGTTTTGTTTTTCATTTTCCTTGTTAAAGTCCTCAGTTGGCCTAGAAAGACGTGTCCCGGAACAAAATCCGGGAGGAAATGCATTCTGTACGCTTTCTGTTATCTACTGTTGTGTGAGGGGTCCAGGTTGAGTAAAATTTTGTACAACATAGAGGAGTTGATGAAAAGAATGTATCTTCAGTGGATAATAACCTGCTTTTGCTTCCAGTTCTACCATTATTTGTGTTGAAAGCTTAGCAATATAGGGTTCAAACTCTGACAGTAATTCATGGTATTGGAGGAAGTAATAGTTAGGTTTTCACATACTCATACTTGTGATTAGAGGTTTTTTTTTGTCCATTAAAACCTAGGCAAATTCTTAAGTAAATTGTTAAAAGAATGTTAACTTTACAAAGTCAAGTTGGAAATTACAGGATGCTATTTAAAACTTTAAAAATGTGGTATTTCTGTAGATGATACAATCAGTCATACTTCTTTGTGGACTTGTTGACTGTCAGAAACATGGCTGAAAACTTCAGAGACCAAAAATTTGGCATAGGACATTAAAAAGCTTGAAATGATTTACCTCACAGATGTAAAGTAGAGTGGAAAAGACACTTCTAAACTTAGGAAAATTGAGCAGAACAGCGGGATATGTACCAAAATTGAAAATTGGCCCTTCCACCACTGTGGTGTATACCTTGACAATAGAGCACATTGATGTAAACGTCACTGAAGCCCAGAGTCAGACAGATGTGGAAAAATTCTGCGATGCTGAGACTCTTACAAAATCTCTGTATGTCAGAGAACGGTAAGATTTGCTGTGTACCTGACATGGCCAAAGGGAGAGGGAGAGGTAGGGTTATTTCAGTCAGCGGACGCAGCAGTACCGGCTCCTCAGGGCATTACTCTGCCGTACTGCAGAGCTGGATGGGAAGCATGGCTGGATTCCCAGGCAAGCCAATAGTGCAGCCCCAGCAGTCCCGGCTGGTTCCTTTTCTTCCGCAGCTGAAACTTGGGATGACCCCGCATCCCAAGCACCCCCCACAGCCCCAGTATTACTGGCCACTTGATGAACCTGCATGCAGCTCAAGATCCACGTTGGGTAGCTTAACACAGCATGAGTCCAAAAATTAGTGTAAATGCAAGTTAAGATATGTAGAATTAAAGTTTTTCCTTTAAGTTTAGAAGGAAACTCTTAAACTGATTTATGCCTGCACTGTTTTGGAAATAGTTTTAAGTTCAACAAATAATTTTTGAAAATAACTGTGGTTTATGCCTTATTTAAGTAAGTGCCTGCTTACCTGAGCTATGCATTCCTGTTCCCTTTGTACACTGGCAGTAGTGCTATGTGGATCTCCAAGGCAAAAGCCGAGTTAAAGTAAGTGGAAAAGTCCAGCTGCATAAAACAATGAGAATTTTTCTGCTTCTTTGGTGGGCTGAACCTGCTGAAATGGTTACTGAATCAGACATGCATAACATTGGTGCACAGGAATGGACAGGAATGCATGTATGGAAAAAAGTGGAGGGTGATATTGCAGCTGTTCTGATTTAAACTGGTGCAAACTATGGTGTGGCTGTAGCCTAAGTTTCTTAAGAGCTAAATTCTTGAAGCTAAACCCCTCTAGTATGATCTGCTGCGGAATGGAGCAGCTGTGTTTCTCTTGTCCCTTTCCAGCCTTGCTGTTGTTGCTTGCCTTGTATAAGGACTTCATGTCTCTGTTGGCTTGCTTTCATGTTGTAGCTAAGCTAATCTAATTCAAAAAAAGGTTGACCAAATTCTCTGCTCATTTGCAGGATCTGGCATTTGTGTCAGTTGAGTTGGCTAATCCAATGGAACACTAACTCCGCCCAAATAATTAACAATTTTCTATTGGAATAGCTTGCTGCATCAACCTATTTTGTGGTCACACAATTGCTAGCTCTAGTACATGAGGGCAGGGGAGAATGGGGTTGCTCTTCTAGGGAATGGCTCGTATTTGTGTTGATTTAGTTGTAGCTTCAAAGCGTACTTTAAAACAGGAATTTTCTTATGGTTGGGATGCTTGATAGTGTCAGCTTTAGGATTTTTTTGCATGTGTGTTTCTTTGAAGCATCTGGTATTTACTGCTGTAAGGAAAGCACTGGATTACAAAATTAAATGGCTAGTTGCCTAATCTGGTTTGGCAATTCCTATATTCATTTGAAATATATAGCAGGTAATTTAACAAAACTCTGCATGACGTTTTCAGACACACATTTGAAATCTTAACAATGAGTCCTGTTAAAACGTGTAATTTTAAACTATTTGTTTTAAGTTTGCTAGTGCAGTGATACAACAGGTTTGGGGAATTTGAAACTAGACAAATTAAGCTTGTGAGCAGGAGTGTGCAGGGTGAGATGGGGGTGGAGGTGGAGGAAGCCTGTAGGGAATAAGCATGCTGTGAGACTTAGTGGACAAGAGACAAAAGATAATTCATTGATTGTCTCCTCTTTCTGGATAGAGCACTCTTTCTTCTCACCCGTGCTTAGGCTTAGCAGTCACCTTCCCCACAGACTACACACCT